AATATTATAAGATAACAGTCGGCACATACTTTATGTGTATGCATTCATATTTTAATCTTGTTTACTGAATACTTCTGCTGTACAGTTCAGTGCTTCACTTCAGTGTGACACTTCCTACGTTTTATTATTATATCCTCTATAATTTTTTTACTGAGTTGTGTTTTTCCAGGCTCGCATATAGTGCTGCGTGGCTAAGGACTTGGCGGATATGTTTCCAGTTTGGGATGATGAGAAACAAGATCCAAATATTGTCAAGATTGTCAATGCAATCCATGACCCCCAATTCAAGTTCTCAAAAAACCACTAGCCTTTGGAAGGTGTTCTGGGTGCACACATCGTGAAGGAAGAAGCAGGAAAAAGGAGCCTTCCCTCAGATGAATCAAGTCGCAAGAGAACATGCACAGCCTCTGCCTCTGCCGCCTCTTTCGTTGGTGATGAAGGGGTCGAAGTTGTCGCTACTATGAAAGCGCACTTCGACCAATGCTTCAAAAGCTTATCAATCAAGATGCTGAATGGTCTTGGTAGCTGTGAAAAACAGATCAAATTTCTCACCGACAATGTTGAATCTGTAGAGTGTGCAGTAGAGGAGTTGACTACAGGATCGGCGAAGCACACTGAAGAATAGGTTAAGGACAATGTAGAGCCAACCCAGCAACAGGTCACTAGATCCAAGAAGCATGAAGGGGTTAGTACCAAAAACCCTCCGCCTATACGAAAACATTTCATGCGAACAAGATTACGCAAAAATAGGAACACTTAATACTAATGTCATTTGAATTCGAACATGTTTAATAATGCTATGTACCGTGTGAGATTATTTACTTATGTTTTAAAAAATTGTGTTTCCAATTTCCAGACTATGATGAAACATGTTACTAAATTATAGCAATGGTGTTGTTATTTGTATATTCATGCCTGTTTGTGACAATAAACTGCAGAGTAATTCAGAGAAAGAAGATGCTCCGATGAAAGATAATGTGAACGTTGGTGCGAGTGAGAGTGTTACTGCCCCCGGGGATGCAAAAGGAAAGAAGGCTGCCTTGAAGGAAGAAGAGACCCCCGAGGCAAGCTTTTATGAAGTTGACCCGAAGACGTGTGATGTTGACTTCGACGCAGTTGCACTTGCCAAAAATACCAAAGCCAGAGCAGCGGCTCAGATAGTTGCCCGAGCAACGAGTGCCAGAAACCGACAGCTGGCTGCGACACAGAAGAGTCCTTTCTTAGGAAATAACACTCCGGCCATGTCTGTGGATATGATCATTCAACGTCGGCATCTCACTCCGGCCGTGTCCGTGGATATGATCCTTTCAATCAAAACGGTGTTAAGGAGAAGCATACTTCTCTAATGAACTATAATTCGTGGTCATCGAAAATTTATAAGCAGAATAACAGAGACAAACAGATACAACGGTTATATGCACCGTTAAAGTTGTTAAAGCATTTTCTTAAATGAAGTCGTTTCAATTCTAACCGTTAACAAAATATCACATATATAGTAGACTTCGATATTTGACTTCCAAAGTAGACTTCCGGACAACAATAACAGCTTTGTCCTTCTATTCCGGAGCCTTCTTGTTATTGTCCTGGTGAATCTTCGACGTCTAAGTGAGAGACATAAAGTTTAGTAAATAAATCAATTAACATTGTATAGGACATTATTAGATGAGTTTAGATCAACTTACACAATTCGGTAGGGTATAACCAGATTGCTTGCATTGTGAGCAGCTGTATCGTTTGTGCAGCTTCCTTGGCTTCTTGCTTTTCCTCCTAGCAATTTTTAGCCATGATTGCCACCGAGACTTCTTCTGTCTGCCTGGTTTGCGGCGAATGTCTGGTGGCAGACATATTGATAGTTGGACTCTTGGACCTCTGAAATTTGGGGATATATGTTGGCAGAATATGCAGCAAACAAGTAGTTTTTTGAGTAAGTAGGACATACAAGGGAATCCACAGCTATCCCACCGGCTAATGCAGCTGCAATAGCATGTGAACATAGGATTTTCTCGATATAAAACACACCACACTCACACATTCCATGTTCCAAATCAACAATACAATTCCTGGTTCCTCCTTTCACATAGTATCTCCAAGTGTCAATTCGGTCCACCTCCATTGCATCTGCATAATGTCCACGAATCGCCAGAAAATACTCCACTCCCCGAGTATTATGTGTTGTGAGACTCAAAGCATCCTCTCTGTGTTTTAAAAACCACCGACCGAGCTTCTCTCGTATGAAATCCAAGACGAATGATATGGGATAGCCACGGGCCTTCTTAAGTGCAGCATTTATAGACTCTGCGACATTGCTAGTCTTAATATTGTATCTGTCTCCAACATAATGAATTCGGGACCAAAGGGAGACATCGGCTTCTTCCAAATAGTCAGCAAGCTCAGGCTTGATCTGTCTTAACTCCACCATGTACCGGTTGTAGTCATAGAGGTTGTAAGCATAAGCCACAGATTTGACCAAGTACAGCAATTGCTTCCCCTTAAACTTTGTTACTATGTTATGTTGTAGATGATAGCATATCCCTCGTTTTGCCCATGGGAAAACAGTTTGACAAACTTTTTTAATAGAAAGATGTCTGTCAGAAACTATCACCAAAGGATAACCATCTGAGACACATTCACGCAGTTTAGAAAAAAAACCATTCCCATGAAGCATCATCTTCACTATCAACAATTCCAAAGGCCAAAGGAAAAATCTGAAAGTTTCCATCTTGTGCGGTGGCCCCCAACAAAGTACCTTCGTATTTCCCTGTTAGATGACATCCATCCACCACAATAACTCTTCTCATGTACTGAAAACCGGCAATCGATTCTCCAAATGCGAGAAATAGATATTTGAATTTGTTATTGGAATCTACATGAAGAGCTGATACAGTTCCCGGATTGGCTTTGTTAACTGAATGTAGGTAAGCTGGGTGACTCGCATATCCATCTTCAGCTGTTCTCCTGACCAATTGTTGGGCATATATCAAAGATCTGTATGAAGTAGTGTAATCCATCTTGATACCAAACATATGCTTCATTGAATCCTTGACATGTTGTGGCGTAAGACCATCAATGATGCCCAAATGGCTTATAAACAGCTTGCCAATATACTTAGGAGTAGACTTTCCACGCTGAGCCATTCACTGGCCTATTGAACATGTGTGGTCTTTCACATATTTTGTCACCCAAAAAGTGGATACATCATTCTTCACGCTCACTTTAACCATCCAAGCACATCCTTCCACTCGACATTTAGCCAGAAACAGGGTCTTCGTAGACTTCTCTGTTTTAAAAGCAAATTTTAACATTATCGCAGTCAATCTAACCTCTGATAACAGCTTGTCCTTTGTAGGGAAACTTGCCCTAACATATATATTATCAGACCATGAGATGGGCGTGCTTCCTGTTTCACCATATCTGTTTCTGACATTATCAATACAGACTTCATCTTCATCATCATCTTCATCTTTCACTTTACCGTAGACACTGTAATCTTCTCCGTCAGAGTAAGCTGCATCGTCCACATCTTATCCATCCTCGTTCACATCAGAACTGGCTGCCTCATCATCGATAGAATGCTCTGAGTTTTTCTCAGACTCCTCACCTAAATCTTGATCTGATCCTTCCTGGTTCTCCTCATATCCATCTCCACTTGACTGGAAACACAAAGACGTACCATATGCACTCTGCTTAACGCAATCAAACTTGAAACTTGTCTATCATTGGTGACATGCATTGGAAGTGTATCTGGAGCCATAGTTTGCAACATTGGGTCTGGTAGTGAGTAGGTTAACTCAATGAGCTCAGTCTTCTAACCCAAGTTATAATCATCTCACGCCATCTCAGTAAGTTCCCCCAAGGTGCAACCATCGTTCAAAAACCACATTCTTCCACCTTTGCCCATGTCAACCACAAAATGCCATGAATTCTCCTCAATCTTCCATTCCCCGTACACAATAGGAATTTGAGCCATTCTCTGAAAAAATAACCAGATAAACCATATTAGCAAACACTGCATAAAGACTTTTGTATCAAGAGTAGACTTCTCCCGAAAAGAACATTAGTATACTACACGACAAAGTCTACTTTGATAAGCTAAGTAGCTTAAAATCAAAACTTCTAATTCAACAATAAATATCGAATGAAATGAAATAAAATTCACTGGATAGTTCAATCATTTACTAAAAAGCAATTCTAATCCAAAAAATTTAAAAAATACTTTATAAATTTGCCTTAAACGCGTTTTAAAAAAAAGGCTAAAAGTAGACTTTTACCGCAGACTTCAAATGTAGACTGGAGGAGAAGTCTACTTTTTCATAGAGAAGTCTACTAAAGAAGTCTACTAAAAAACATGTCATTTTTGCAATTGACCAATCTGTTGACTTTTCCTACAGTAGACTTCAGAAATAGACTTCCGGCCAAAAAGGTTACTTTAGCATTTGACCGATGCATTGGCTAACAAAGTAGACTTCTATTGTAGACTTCATGTAAGATAGACTTCTCTGACAGTTTACTTTTGAAGTCTACTTTTTTAATAGAAGTCTACGGAAAAAAATATGTTATTTTTGCAATTGAATTTTTTGAGTAGACTTCACAAAAAAAAAAGATTCCTTCTAATTTTGACCAAAAAATATAAGTAGACTTCTTTAAGTCTACAGTTTTTAGACTTCTTTGGGAAGTCTACTGAAGTTTTTCGGAATTTTTTGAATTTTTTAATTTTTAAAAAACTGTAGTCAAACACTAAATTAACCTATACGTTTTTGGTCAAACTACAAAAGTAACTTTACCGTAGACTTCTTCTGCAGACGTAAACAGTAGACTTCTTACGGAAGTCTATATTCAAAAATCTAAAGACGGTCAACTACAAAAATAACCTCTTTTCTTTAGTAGACTTCTTAAGCCTTCAAACGAAGTCTACTAGGCTTTTTTTTTTTGTTTTCAAAGGATGTCGAGTAGACTTCTCGTGAAGTTTAATGAAGTCTACTTTTAAGAAGTCAATTGCAAAAATAACCTTATGTTGACTAGTAGATTTCAGTATACTTCATGAGAAGTCTACTATACTGAAGTCTACTTTCGTGATATGAAAACGGAAATGTGGAGAAATTGAAGTGCGACGATTACCTTTAACAAAATTGAGCTCGTCTACTGTTCTCTTAAGCACCCAGAACTCAGGATTTCACCGAAAATAAACAACCTAGGTGTCGAGTAACCAGAAATCACCAAAAATGCATGGCCCGACGCATTGTAACTTAGCCCAGATGTTTTGGAGAAGAAATTATGAAAGAATGAGCAAGGTTATGAGTGAATGAGCTCAGATATTTACTTATTACAGCTTTGAAATTGGTTGAGAAGCATTTATTCTTATTTCGTGGTTGTTCATGGTGGTTGAAGGAATTGAAGAAGATGGCATTTTCGTAATTAAATGGTCTTTAGGAGGACCAATGAGACTTTAGCCAAATTAAGGAAAAATCGAAATAATAGATGTATAATGGCATTTTCGTTAATAGTTTAGGTAGGAAGGATAAAATTGTGACAAAATGGCAAAAGTTGGAGAGAGAAAAAAAAGAGGTTTGTTTGGTGTTTGACTTTGAAATATAGGTTAAAACTGAAACTTTTTTTTTTAATCCAATTTAACATATTTAAAAAAAAAAAAAAAGAAGCAAGAGTTTCAACGAGTGACACTGTTGTGATCGTTGCATTGTCTACAGAACAACTGAAAAAAAAACATATTATTCTTCATCAGGGAAATATCTTTCACATCATACAGCAATTTAATGATTGAATCATGCATATGCAATTTGACCAGTCCAAACGGACCAACCATAGGCTTTGTCTGTCCAACGGAACAGAACCAACATTTGTCTTATGTCTCTGTTTTCCAAGTTATTCACAAACTAACTCCTTCTGGTTACACCCTTAAGTTATTCCCCTTTCACTTTTCTTTGGCATAAAGCAATTGCATCTTTATGCTCTGTAAAAAAGCGATAGCTTCTAAAATGTAAGTGACTATCTGAGAGGTTTAGGTTAATGTATCTGCAGGTGATGTAGTTTGGCAAATTTTCATGGAAAATTGAACAAGAAAGGGAAGAAAAACTTGGGTCTATTCATGCTCATATAACATCAGAAGAAGGAAAGTTCTTGAAATCTATATATGGGTTAATGTAAATCCATATGTATGTATGTGTACGTTGATTCAAGGTAGATGATGTTCCTAGATAATTGAGAAATTGGAACGTATGTATTACTCCCGTACAAGATAAAGTGAATCTCCAACCTCTTTACACATAGAATTTGAAATTGGACTTGCTTGTGGTACAAGAAAAACTGTACGGACAAGGGCTAAATACAGAGTGGAAAAGCAAGAATTTTAACGAGGACTGACTATAGAATAAAGAACAGATTTGCAGCCAGAATTTTCAATCTTTGGTCTATATGTTGAAGGGTCTATATTGGGTCTATTCGTGCAGAAAAATCCAGGAGGTCGAGGCACAGGTAGGACAACGGAGCTATTGATAAGCATTTGAAAGATTGTACTCATCGCTGGACGATCTGCAGGAGTTTCTTGAACACATAATAATCCGATATGGATGCATCTAATGACTTCATCCTTCTCATAATTTTCCCTAATCGAGGGGTCGATGAGTTCTAAGGGGGATTCATTGTTCCAAAGCCTCCAAACCTGTCAAGAATCTGATCATATTCAAAAGATAATAATAACTAAAATGGAGTAAGATTTTGATTTCATTTTTCCACACATGTGTCACCAAGTTGCCATCAGAGTCATCCATCTGACAGAGGCTGTTGTTCTTCATGCCACAAACAATCTCGAGAATCAATACTCCAAAGCTATAAACATCAGATTTAGTAGAGAATTGGCCACGCGTCAAATACTCTGGAGGCATGTAACCGCTGCAAATATACACATGACAATGTTTATATATAATCAGAAACAAAAAGGTTCACCTGACATTTGTGCCCATTTAAAGTAAGATTAGCAAGGTTCATTAGTTTTGAAGGAGAATAGTAGAGTACTAACAAGGTTCCAACCACTCTTCGTGTCGTGTCTTCAGTTTGGTCCACTCTGAAATTCCTAGCCATTCCAAAATCCGCTATTTTAGGGTTCATATCAGAATCTAGAAGAATATTACCCGCTTTGATGTCCCGATGTATGATTGTGAGCCTTGAGTCATGATGAAGGTAAAGAAGCCCTCGCGTAATTCCTTCGATGATGTTGTACCGTCTTTTCCAATCTAGCTGACTCTTCTTTGTAGCGTCTGCATTACACTAAGATTTTAAGAAACTTTACTGAAATGAACATATATAAAACCTGTTGTATACTGTATATTACCAAAGAGGAAATAATCAAGGCTCTTGTTTGGAACAAACTCGTAGACAAGTATATGTTCATCTCTTTCTATGCAAAACCCAAGAAGCCTAACAAGATTCTTGTGCTGAAGCTTAGCCACAATCACAACCTCATTCTTGAACTCTTGTGTGCCTTGTCCCGAGTTTCTCGATAGCCGCTTCACTGCAATCTCTGTTTCATTTAGTAGCATTCCCTACAAATAGCTTCTAGTTTCTTAGCTCTCATGACAAATCAAGAAGTCATATATACATGTAGAGCTCATATGTATATACCTTGTAAACTTCACCAAATCCGCCTTGACCTAGCTTGTTACTTCTCGAAAATTTATTTGTTGCCACTTCAATTGTCGCAAAATCATATTGTAGGGACTGTGGACTAGTCATGTCATCATCAGCTGTCACAACATCTATATAAGTACTGTTCTGCAATCTAAATAGCTATGTATAGAGTGGTAAAAAAACTTAATTAAAAAGGTAACTCACTTTGAAGTTTTACTGTTTCGTATGATCTCTTCCAAATAACTAATCCAGAAGCAAGCAGCACCACGAATGTAACTGTGGAAACAACAATCGCCACAATAGCTCTTCTAGCAATTCTTTTCCCATCTGGAGAAGGAGTGGGAGGGAGAGGAGGAGGAGTAGGAGGAGGAGGAGTAGGAGAAGGTGGCGTAGGTCGAGAATGTGTGTCATTAAAGGCATCAAATGCACCAAGATATGCATAATCATCCCACCGGATAAAGCAAACGGGCTTGCGAACGCTTCCATCTATGTACCCATTGCAGCATCTCTGGTTTGTACGCACATTTTCTTGAAGACAAGATTCACACTCTTTAGAGGATATCCCTGGAATACACTGCATCAGCACGTATACATTATCATCAAGTCTTTCACCTATCCTAGGCGATACATCGGACAAGTATCGAGATGGAGTTTGTCCGACTCGGGTGATCATAACTTCCATGAACGAGTTCCATATTCTTGTATAAGTTGTAACATTACCCTGGTACATTCCTTTATTGTATTCTGCTTGTGTCGGCTCCAGATCGATGGAGTTGAAGAACGAGCTGTTGGAGTAACGAACGAAACAGAGCGTCTTGACTGCTCTCCAGTCCCATGAGTCGGTCTGGTTCCGACAGTTCTGTAATAAACCGACAGACGCGGCTTGGATACAATCGGAACACACCTTTGGATCAGTCCCTGGGATGCAGAGGCCTAAGGCATAGATCTTTCCAGGGCCTTCACCAACGGTAACATTGTAGTAGCCGTCTCCAGAGCTGACGTGGGAAGCAAGAGTTGAGAGAATGAGACGACGGTTTGTATCGTAAGTACCGTTTGGTCTGAAAAACATATTCTCTCCACATTTTTGTGCAGACACGTAGCCGGAGCTAAAGACCTGGACAAAACAAAGGATTGACAAGAGATTATTTAGACACATTTTTTTTATAAGATTTATTTTTCTCACATACTTGTTGCAGAACTAAATAAGACATTTTCTTTTTTGTTTACTATAGTAGCGTTGATTTGTCAAAACAGCCTGCGTAATCAAAATTTTTTTTTGTTTTTTTTGTTTTTTTCGTAATCAAAATTTTTGTCAAGTCAAATCGGTTAACGTCTGGATAATTCTATATTTTAGAAAACATGTTAGGTATTCGGTGAAAGTGAGCACTGGTTCGTGGGGTTCTACTGAGATTTTAATCTCAGAATGTACTGTTAATTAAAATATTGCAGTACGGTATCATACTAGGGTTAGAATTAGAAATCACAATTTTCAATCCTATAGAATTCGAGTTTTGAAGCAATATAATTTTTTCTATAAATTAATTTATACAGATATTAATTACTCGATAGTAGAAAAGATATATCGTTTAACTAAAAATCAGATAGATAGTCTTCTGTTATTACACATCACATACAGAAATAACTGAATCCTCGATTTTTTTTTTTGTTTTATATGGACTTAAACAAACTGGAATTGCGTGTGAAACAAGGAAACTGGTACGGACTGGTGCTAATCTCGGTGTGGTTATACTACAGAGTGCAGAAGTAAGAGTTTCAACGAGGAGTGACTGTAGTGATCGTTGCATTGTCGATAGGACAAGGAACTGAGTTGCTGCTGCAATGGCCTGGCTGGGATCCATAGTTTGAAGAGTCTAAACTGGATCCACGAAAATCTATCTGTTGCCGCTTCAACTGTCGCAAAATCAAATTGCAAGGACTGTGGACTAGTCATGTGGTCATCAGCTGTAACCATATATATTGGTGATATGCTTCGTAACCCGGTTTGGTCTGGTATAGATCAAAATTGGCCTAATTGAATTCCATTAATGATGGCCTGATCCGACGGCCCATTAGCGATAAGACCCAATAACGAGAGTCAATGGGATTAAAAGGAGAAAACCCTATATACTATAGATAAATGGTTCTGTTACTGTTCAAGGGGTTGGACACTTCCCCGAAGAAATGAGAGCTAGAAAAATAGTATACGTTTTCAGTTTGTAGAGATCTCCGAACTCAAATACTTGTAACCCGAACACAACATTAATGAAAATTCATTCCGAACTCAAATTATCGAATTTGACCCCCTTAAATTGAAATCCACAATCAATAATTAGCGTCCACCATGGAGCCTATTCGGTAATCGACCTTCAAGCAACGTTGACAACAATAGCAGACAAAGCACAACCGGCCTCTACCCAGGTCGGAAGCCACATCACCATATGCAATAACGACCCAAGCCAGGTCCCACCGTAAGTCGGCAAACCTCCAGGCGATGGGGAACATAGCCCGGCCCGACCTCAAGTCAATATCTCAAGACAACGTGGGACCGAGTTCGGTAAGAGTTCCGACTGGCACCGAAACCCATCATGCAACGGTAGCTGCCTTCGATCCAACCGCACTCATAAACGTCTTCACCACTCAGATGCAGGAGCTGGTCAAAAGCAACGATGCCAAGTTCGCAACCCTCACTGCACAGATCACCAGCTTGCAGCAAGAGATCTGCTCAGAAGACGGAACCTTATCAGCGATTTCCAAGGAGAGGGAAATCAACAAAACACTGCAGCACGGTCGATGATCCAGAAGTTCGAAAGTCCATTCCCCCAGTCAAACACCCCGGCAACCGCTGATGTCGTGTCAACTGCGTGAGGGAACAAGCTTTACCTTTAACAAAACAAATGAAAGCCGCAAGTGCACAGCTAATCAGTTGTAGTACTTAGGGATCGAATCCACAGAGATTTGTGTGCCTGGTATTCTTCTACGGTTTTTAACTTTATGTCTAGACTAGATTGGTTTTTAAAGATTGGTTGTTTGTCACGAATTAAATTAAAACAAAAGTAAGCAAATAAATCTATCCTAGAAAGCAAGTAGAAAAATCGAATGGAAAGCAAGTAAAGCAAGTAAAATATCGAACTAAAGTAATTAAAATGCAGATCTAAATAAGCAAATAAAAATCGATTGGTTTGTAAACTATGACTAAAAACGCTGAGCTTTTGGGAACTCTAAGGGATCATAATCGGTTTTGACACTAGGGTAGATAGATTGGGATTGACGGATATCGATATATAGGTGGTTCTAGAGCTAGAGTACGGTGATATGACTACGTCACTGTCGTGATCATAACCAACTGTTTCTCGCAACCCTGACCAGTAGGTTTCCACTCTAGCCCTAGAAGGGAGAGAACGCAAGAGCTGCACAAGACTCCTCAATACTCACGATCTTGCCGCAGGAAGGTTTCCACTCCTACGGAAAAATCGCCTGTTTCATTCTAGGGCTGATACTTAATGAAAACTTTCGCAACACTAACTATCTAGATCAGATACTAGGTGATCAATCAAGCATACATGCAAATAGAACAAGAATGAACAGAGAACAGGTCGAAATACCAGATCTATAAACCTAGATGTCTTAATCGATTATGAGAGCCCTTTTCGGGAACCCTAAGCCCAACTCGGGATCTACTCAGACATGGCTGAGGTCGACATCATCATTGGTTTTAATAAAAGTAATGAAAAACAGTAAAGAAAAGAGATGAAGAAAGCTTCTCTATTGAAGAACTCGGACTTGAACAAACTTCTACAAAAATCGCATAAAAACGGCTAAAGAAAAAGGGTTTCTGTAAAGTATGAAGGGGTCTCTCTAAAAACGACCTAAATGACAATATTTATAGTCTTCAATACTCCATGGTCTCTAGGGTTCCAGAGTTGAGGCTGAGAATGACTTTGGGCTTCAGAAATATGGGCTTTAGTTCGGAGCTTGATGGCCGCGGTCGGGAGTGACGTGACCGCGGGGATTAGGTGGTTGGCCGCGGTCAGGAGGCTTGTGACCGCGGGAAATGGGCTGTTGGCCGCGGTCGCGTGACTTGCTGGCCGTCTTCGAGTGGCTCCGGGGCTAATGGAATATCTTGAGATCCAACCGTTGGAATTTCTCCAAACCAAGTGCATTTGAAAGCTGGTTGATTCTTCTATAAGTTGTCCAATTTTGAGGGTGATCAGACGGTGAGAAGGTCTTCGTCTCTCCATGAGAGTTTTGACGGTCTGCATTTATCCAAAAGAGTCTTTTTGTTCCAATTTGTGCCTCTTTATCCCAAATTACCTGAAAAGTCTTTTAAAATCCGAAAACATAGAAATCCTTTGAAAACCTTTGGAAATGGAGTAAAAACACCTGTAAAAGATATTAAAGTGATCCATAAAAATAGTCAAAATTCGGTGTTATCAACTCCCCCAGACTTAGTCTTTTGTTTGTCCTCAAACAAAACAAAGACTAAATCTCGGCGATGTTAGAATATATAGAGACTAAGCGGAATAAAGAGATTTGAGAGAGTGTGCAAAAGAGATGAGAGAAAGAGTTCCCAAAGTAGTGTGTTTATTCATTCTCGTCTTTGATACATATATAGAGGAGACAGAATAGAAACTAGGTTTAGCTAAGCTACAATACAAAAGAAAGTGGTTAGAAACATAAGGAAACATGTGAGTCTTGAGCATGGATCCCGAGAGATAGTGACAGCTCCAACGGTCACAAGACCAAGTGTAAACGACGCGCCAAGGGGGGACCATTGTACGGACACCAACTCTCTTCTTCCTTAAACATCACACGTGATCCCTTGAGCATTCTCTCCTTATTAAAGGCTAACACCGATTCAAGCCCTAAAGCATAGAACCTTTCTTGACCAATACTCCCCCTCAAGCTTAGCCATCGAAGTTGTTTAGATTGCTAAGCTTGAAGACCCATGAGCATCACCTCATTAAAAACCTTAACAAGGAAAACCTCATGGGACAAAACCTTGTTAAGGGAAAAAGAGTGTGATGTCCATGGATCAAGGACTATGATCAAGGGCGACTAAGGTCCACAAGTCCTAGCTTGCTAAAGAGATTGTTGCAAACTTTAAGACTTGCGGCCTTAGTGAAAATATCAGCCAACTGGTCTTCACTTCTTGTGTAGCACGGTAACACCACACCTTCCTCAATCTTCTCACGGACCTTGTGGCAATCTATTTCAATAGACTTTGTTCTCTCATGAAACACCGAGTTTGTTGCAATGTGTATAGCAGCTTGGTTATCACAATGCATTGTAATCGGACCTTCTTGCTCAATGCCAAGGTCTTTAAGGAGCGCCTTAAGCCAGGTTAATTCACTTGTAAGCTTCCTCATTGCCCTATATTCAGCTTCTGCGGTTGAGCATGAGACCACCTTTTGCTTCTTAATCTTCCAGGTTACAAGATTTCCACCAATGAAAGTACAATACCCACTTGTTGACTTTCTATCAACACGATCACCAGCCCAATCTGAGTCACAATATCCCACAATCTCTGTATTATTGTTCTTTCCCATCCAAATGCCTTGTCCTGGACTCCCTTTGAGGTATCTGAGAATTCTTTCCACCATACCCCAATGATACACTGTCGGAGCTTGCATATGTTGGCTTACTTGATTCACGGCGAAGCAGAGATCTGGCCTTGTGAGAGTGAGATAGATCAATTTGCCAACAAGTCGTCGATACCTAAATACATCCTTGAAGGCTTCATCTGATTTCTCCCCCTTTCGATTGACTTTGTAGCCCTCTTCAAGCGGCGTTTTGGCTGGTTTAGCTCCAAGTTTTCCTGTCTCTTTGAGAAGATCAACTGTGTATTTCCTCTGAGACAGAAAGAGACCCTCAGGAGACCTACACACCTCAATGCCAAGGAAATACTTGAGCTCGCCGAGGTCTTTAATGTCGAATACCGAGTTAAGAAAGGCTTTTGTAGACTGAATTCCCTCCTTGTCATCTCCAGAAATGATAAGATCGTCTACATAAACAAGAACAACCACCAGACCTTGAGAACTTTGGAGGGTAAACAAGGTATGATCCGAGTGAGACTTCTTGAACCCCTTTTTCCATCAGAGTGGTACTAAGCTTGTTATACCAGGCTCTTGGAGATTGTTTCAATCCATATATAGCTTT